AAACACAGAAGAGTTTTTATGGTTTCTTGAATATGTTTGGAAAGTAAATACTAGTTGACTCCTAATAAAAATATGTAGTGTGCACTATTAAAATTACTTCCCTGGCAAGGGTGAAGAGGATATGGTATATGTATTAATATCCCAGATACAATAAATGCAGGAGATATGGGATCCAGCTTACTTCTGTGTCATGCCACAATTCAGTCTTGAAAATTCTTGCTTCATGTCTGCACTGTGTAAATCACTTTTGAGGAGAAATTTGTAGGTGGTGAAGTGGTTGCAGGACTTGTTGCTCCTGTTTCACCAATCAAGTTTATATTAACAGCCACAAACTGCAGGTTTATCTTGTGTCTGCTTACATTTACCTGGTCACTGTGTAAGTTTGGGTATGAATATTAACTTTACTGAATAGTTCTTTTTTAAGACAATTTAGGAGGTTGCTGAGGGGAGGTATAGTAACATACAGATTGCAATGATGGGTTACTGAGCAAAACTTGGTATTATGACAATTATTCTGTAGGATTTAGCAATGTTTGGATTCTTCCAATAAAATCAGAAGCTCTAGGTTTGTTCTCAGAATAGTGGCAAATACTAATCTGGAACTAATCCCTCCTCCTCCCCCCACCCCATATTTTTCCCTCTCGAATTTCATTAGCAAGGTCTGTTAAGTTCCAAGATGCCTTGCCTCTGTAGAACCCTGTAGAGTACAGAAGGACCACATCAATTAAATATGAAATATCAAGACAAATGTATGAATAAAATATCCAGGATTCAGACAAACTTCCAAAAGCTGCTTGTCAGCAGTGAAATGCCATTAAATCCTTTAGGAACTCATTAATAGATTAACATTTGGAAGTGTAATTACAGCTACATCAGAACTGAAAAAATAAAAAAACAAATCCAACACCATAGCTTCTCTAAATTCTTAACACACAAAATTGTGATCGATATTGTAAAGTATCAAAGATAAGGAATTATGGTCAAGATGATCATGTCAAAAATAGGTAAGCTGTTCATATATATTTTGGATGAAACTGTTATGTTAGTGTTTTACATTCCTTGTGTGGGACACCACCTCACAAGGGATGCAAAAGGGATAGTGAAGTGAAATCAAGGATATCCCTAGAAATTGGAAGCATTGATGACTTTAATGTCATTAACCTAAATCATAACTAAAATTAACAATGTCAAGCTTTGTAGCTACATTTTCTGAGTGAAAGGAAGACCCTCTCCTTTACTGAGACAGAAATACATTGTCCTTCAAAATGATTTAATACTGCAAAAGTCTTTTTTTTGAGAATTTATGGGTCAGCTCTGTAAAGAGAAGAAAAAAGATAAGTTAGAGTAGGTATTGTAGTTAGATAAATAGATAAGATCTTCAGTATGTTTTAATTTTAAATAAAAGCACGTACCTTTAAATTATCTCTAATCCAGTATATCATAACCTTGCCTATGAATTTTGAAGATTCTATAATGTGAAAACAGATGGAATATGGAAAATATGGCTTTAGTTTAGAAGTATTAGTCTTTGGATATTGTAAATGTATGTACTGTAGAAGCAGGCAGCACTGCCACATACTAATGGAACTATACTATTTTCAAGAGAAAAAATAAAATATATGAACAGTAACAGAGTTGTAAAATTCATCACTGACAAATGCAATGAACTCATCAGTGTGTAAAAAATGTTAAGGTTTTAGATTTGCAATTTTCCTATTTAAATGCCCTCATTGATTTGTTACAAATACTGTTAACCCTGTGTTTGGAAAATGGTGAGGACATTATCACTTGTGTTCTCATTTGTAATAAAATAGATTAACTTGCTGTGAAATTTTAACTAGGCTGAGACACAACAGTAGCTACCTAATGAACCAGAGCACATTGCTGTTAAGTAGCTAAATAGATGCATACTGATTACAGGACTGAAAAATGGATCTGTTTACTTGAAAGGAAGAAACTGTTCATAGTGCTATTCATGATGGAAGGAGAAACTCAGCATTACATTTCCCCACAAATATTTAGAAATACACCATTTCTCAATGAATATCCAGGCTAAGGTGATAATATTCTATCCTCATCTATAGTATATATGATGTAGAGGAAATTCCAGTAATGGCTACAGGGAAAGTACATTCTTATAACTAGTAAAATGTTAAATAACGTAACCAACTAATTATTTTCCAAAGTGATCCACTGTGTGATTTAGACTGAAATTAATATTTACTACAATTATATCTACCTGAAAATTTCAAATCCAAAGTATGTTTCAGGGTAAATTGTTTTAAGTAAAGATTGCTTTATAATGGGAAATAATGGTCAAATGCAGTTACCAGAGAGAATGGGAAAATATGCTTTCCAAATCATCTGCTTTTGAATTACTCAAATAATTTCAATTTAAAGATGGCATATACTGCTGTTTGGGTGATTTCTGAGTGTTAAATAAACATTATTTGGTCTGTTGAAATCTATTTTTCAGAGAAGTTGGCAAGCTCTCTCCCTGGCTCTTCATTCCCAGGGTTGTTATAAAAATGTCCCTGTAGACACCACAGGGGCTGCAATTTTCTCTACATCATATGGTACTATACACGAGGATAGATTATTATCACCTGAGCCTAAATATTGATTTAGAAATGGTGTAGTTCTAAATTACATAAATTACTTAAAGAACACAATGTGGCAAATTAATAATTTTAAAATTCTGAACTGAATTAATAGTAGAATGAATACTCCTTTAGATACAGGAGTCTGGGAACAGTGCCAACGGCAGCCATGAAAATAAAAAGAGGCAAATGAAGATAAAGTAACAACTGGTTTCACCTGGGGTCAATCCAGTAGCTGCTACTTCAATACATTTAATAGAAGATTCACACACATAGCAACTATAAGATAGGCCCTGGACATGTTAAATTCATTGTATGACATAATTAATAATCTTTCAAGTGAGAAAGCAAAAGGTCTCTTCCTCTGCTGCCTCCTACCCTCAGCATCTCTTGGTTCCTAAATTCTTTTGGGATGTTTTACAGTATGGAGGAAGAAACCCTGATAATTTTAAAGGCAACTGATTTACATTGTTGATTTCTAGACAGAGTTAGAAATGAGGCAGTTAATATTAAGAGCTGATTTTTCAAAATCTAGAGCCATTGTGGCTGAATGTCCCTATAATGGATTCAAATCTATTAAAACTTAATAAACATTTTTTAATTAGCTTACAAAACCTACTGCAATTAAAAGTCTCTTTTTCAGTTTTATTAGTTATTGTATGTTCATTAAATAACAGATAATTAGTGAAAACAGATCCACTGAGGATTAACAGCTATGTAATAGATATGCATCTGTTACATGATTGTGAGGCTCAGTTGTTATTTAATGTAGAATAACTATCCTATTAGAGTGCATTCAAGGCTACGTTTTTAGTTGGTATGATTGGAATAGACAAACAACACCCATTCTCTTTTAGCAGAACTGCTTTTCAATTCCCTGTGCATCATGCTACAATGTATCCCTAAATATAAAGTAGAGCATATTTTAGAAATGTAGCTCTAATGAGTAACAGAATATCCCTAAAATAACAACCTGATTACTACTGATATTAATGACTTAGAGCACTAACAAAGTTAGTTATTTATAATGGACTTTTAGAATATACTAGGCACATCTTAGAGATATTTTTAGAAGTTAAAAAAACAAACAAACCCATCCTTATTGGGGTCCGTCCCCCCCAGCACATATTAAGATGCCAGCAAAGGACCAGGTTATATCCTCTGAATGAAAAAGTTTGAGTTGACTAGAAAGGGAGGAAATTTACCAGGTTATCTTTAAATCATTGTCCTCAGATTACAGTGTAATGAAGTGGGGTGTTTTCCCTACTTGCAGAAGAATCAGGAAGATTTAGAACCCAAAAATACAAAGGAATTGCTAGAGGCTGTGGCCATCCACAAAGAATTCCCATGCTGCTTTATAAGTTCTAGTTCTGAAAATAGGACATTTTTGGTGGACAAGCTCTTGGGAGCCTCATGACCAAATACCAGCAAATTTACCTCAGAAAATCAAATGTGTTTCCAACATGGTACATTTATTATTAAGTTGATATAACTCTTCTGTGAAGAACTGATTCTTGTTCTTAACATTCCTTCGTGGCATGCATGCACCGCTTTCTCCTGTGCATATTGGGTTGTGAATGGTTTAAGATGATTGTGTGCAAAAGCATGCATGCCTTTTGCAAGCATAGCTTTGAAAGCCTGTCTAGTGTGTCTTTAATGAGCACTGATAAAAGTTATTCAGGTAGACCAATAGTCTTTTTAATGAATTTACAAGTTTTTTATTATTAATACAATTTGAAATCCAGATGGCCAGCTTAGCCAAAATCCAATTCTGTTCTTTAAAATATGGTTCTTCTTTATTAGGCATAAATAGTATAATTTAAAATGACAAATTCACTGAGGAGGGAAATCTATTATTTGGTATTGAAAGGAAAAGTTGCAAACTAAGGGCGCTTATATGCATGCTTCAGGAGGTGGGGACAGGAGGGGGACTTTAAATAGAGTGGCTCTGAGAACTGCTCTACTTAAAGTGCCTAGAGCGACATGTGTATCAGTGTCCCATCACCATTTTTCAATGCGAGGACTCTTATACATGTGATTCTATAGTCTGCTGAAGTGTAGGACTTACCACACTCCAGCAGACTCGATCAATTAGAGTGTGTCAGAGCAGCCTCCATTCATGTGTATAGGCACCTTAAAGAAACAACTCAAGTAATTGCTTAGACAAAAAAGGTCCTCTTTTCTTCTACAGCATGACACCTAATGTGGTCACAGGGTTCATAGAAAACATGTGTACTCAAGACTGGACTGGATCTCTGAATACGAGTCCACAAAACAATATAATTTAGTTTGCCAAGAAAGAACGATTCACTATTTTAGCTGTCTTAATTTTATAATTTGTTAAGTAACTTAGTCAAAATTACACAGTTGCACATACATTATTTTGTTTTCTGTTTTAAGGAGAGAATTCAAGACAGTCCTTCTCCTGCTCCATCTCTGGAAGATAGTCAGAGACCTGGAAGTCATGCTTCTTCACATCAGAGCAGTAGTGTGTCCAGCTCTCCATCCCAGCTTGACAACACGCCAGATAGAATTGGTTAGTACTTTATTACTGCCAGTTCCACTCCCCTCAAAAGCTACTGACTCAAGAGATTGGAGAAGTGTGCTTGGCAAACTGGGAGAATTACATTTAAAATAACCTACTAGGAAGCAGTCGTGTATTTTTTAAAATTAGAATACAGTGTATAAAGCATCCTTTTTATCTTTTATCTTGTTTATCGCTGAAGAGAGTAGACCCGCTCAGACTAATAAATTAAATGACAACAGAGTCCCATGGTATATTGCCCCTGCTCCAGTATGACGTGTATTGGCCCATGACATACTCTTCTAAATAATGACGATGGTGGGAATGTGCCTTTTAAGGTAGCTGGAATTGAAAGAAGACTCTCAGAATTTGGGATTTGCTGTATTGTCCCCCAACTTTGCAAATCTATCTTAATCATTTCGTTAATTCAGAGGTGGGGAGCACAGTTTCTCCATAGTCATAAGAATTTTTTTTTCTTAAATTTCACCAAAGTTACCGGTCCTTGCCTTATTTAAGACGGTACCCTTGTGCTTAAAAAACAGATATGAAATGTGGAGATCTGGATTCTGTTTGTGGCTGTCCCACAGGAAACCTGTCTGAACTTGGGCAAGTAACTTGACCTCTCTGCCCATCAATCCCTGCAGCTTTTGCAGACATACCTGAGTTAGCTTTGTGATAATGAGCATGGGCCCTTACATCAGTGTTGATGGAGTAGCATAGAACTCAGTTTAGGCCAACAGCCTGAGGAGTTATCCAGGTTCTAGAAATCTGTACTTAGCACCATGCAGATACATTGGCAATGGTATTTGGGCTGATATTTAAAACTGGTGTGCCCAGTGTAGGCATGCAGTCAGGTTCCTGAGCTACTTTGTGTTGTGCAGCTTAATTATTTAACTGATGCTTTAAAATCTCCAAGGTGAGGAATTCCTCTTTGTGCAGTACATAATGAAATGGGGCCTTGATTCCAATTGTGGTTTTTAAATGCTACTGCAATATATATATGATTAATCATCAACATAATTATCTTTGGAAATCTCAGTGCTTTAGCAGTTCAAAATATTATTAACTATGGTACAGTTCTCCTCACACACTTCAAACAGGTCCCCAACTTTTAACATATCACTTAAATTTTTTCAGAGCCAAAATATTTATCTGTGTTGAATGTTGGGATTTGTCTGCATTGTGCTAGTTTTAGAAGGTTCTATAATATTTTTAATGCTTTTTGCTATTTCCAGATAAAACAGTCCTGAAAGTATTAACATAAAGTTTTAACAGTTCTCTTGAACTAGAGTGACTTTAAATTCTATAATCATTTAATTGTAGAGAGGGTAATATTTTAATCAAATAAGAACAAAGAAACTAAGCATCCTGAAATCATAAACTTAACACGTCTCACTGATTTTGCAGGTGTTAAGTAAAGAATTGCTCTTTCAACAGCATAGAGAATTGTCTTTTAGCTGTCATCCATCAATTTGGGTTGCTAACCATCTATCTGTCTGTATTTCTTTATTAAGCAAGCTGCATTATAGATAATTACTAATTCTTTAAATCCTCTGATCTATTAAATGTATTTTTCCCTAAAATGATTTCTATGAAGTGCTTTTCTGATTAGTTCATTTGAACATTTCATAGGAAATCTCATTCATCCCAGTGGTAATTTTTGGTCTGTTCTCATGTCTTTGTATAATAAATTCCAGCAAAATTGTTTCTGCTGCATATCTTAGTGCTTTGGTCTAAAATGGTGAAGATTTAGAATCTGATGGATAAAAAATAAAACAAAAAAGCCCATTACTTTTGAACCTGCATTACCATATGCAGATGTAAAAATAGCAACATTTTGGCAAAGAAGAAATATAATTTATTTTCATTCTCTTTTGCATACTTTTTTTTCCTGTTGGCTACACTAAAGTTGTACTTTCCAATTTGTAGCTATGCTGACCAACACTAGAGATGGAGAACTCCTTGATCAAGATACTGGGACCAACATAAAGAAACTTCAAAAGGAGAAAGGTAAAATAATTTATTATTCATCATACGTAATTTTTGATAAAATTAATAATGCACTTTACATTCATTCCTCATATCCAGTGGCATGACAAGTTTAACAAAGGACATATATTGCTATGAGTAATATATCCATTGAATTTAGTCTATATTTCTGTTTAGAATATAGAGAGACTCAAAGATGTATTTCCTATTATTTATATATTATTGGACTAATGTTTTTAAAATTCTTTCCTAAATCAGTTAGTTGTTCATAAGGAGTTCTCTACAGATACTGGTTAGCAATAAGGCAATATTTCTTTCCATGGATGAGTACAAGCTCTTTTAGCACTATTTTTGGTAGTAAGTGGGCAACATTTTTTTTTCTATACACTGATTCATACCAGTCAGCTTAAAGGGGACACATGGTTGGCAAATGTTAACTGGGGCCCCCAGCTGTCAGTGTAAACATAGAGCTGAGTGCTTTTAAGTGCCTCCAGTCTTTCAGAGCAGCCGCTCACCTGTTCCCTCTGCTGCTCCTCCATGTCTTCTCTAGAGTGCCACCTTCTCTCTAATGCTTACTTATCAGTTCCCTTATATTTTCTTATCCCCTGCAGAGTTGTCACAGGCTGCAGTTCTGTTGTGGCTTTTCTTTTCCTGTCCTGCATGAGGGAGGCTCCTTTACCTAACCTTAGCAGACACTACACTTAAGATGTGATTAAACCAATTTATTGCATCTTAAGCAGTAACCCTGCCACATGTTGATTCAGTTAATGGCAAGATAAAAGAGGGAATAAGCCAAAACTCATGACACAATAACTTTGTGGCTGGTTCCCATTGTACCTTTATATAGAACATGTGCCAGGGAGTAGCTGAGAGCACTGGTCAGCTGATTGGGGCTCCCAAGAGTGCCATAGGAATGCCTGGAGTCCTTGGCTCACATGTAGCTGGGAGCACCCATCAGTTGATTGTTGCTCCCATCCATAGGAGTATCACTTTCCAGTGCAGTGAGGTGCCTGGGATCATGATCCTGGTCTCCCTCTGCACTGACAATGTGATGCAATTGGCATCTGATCCCCAGTCCCAGGGTTGCACTTCCTGCCATGTCTGTGTGGCATGGCAGGAGGCATAATTGTTGAGATTATGGATTAGATCCCATTTTGCCTTTAATTGAACAAGCTCTCAGTGTCCTAAGTTTCAAATTCACTTCTTTCAGCCATTGTTGGGAGATAGCAAGCAAGACAATATGGAGGTATACGCAGGTGAACAGTCTGTGGATGACTTACTAGTGAACAAGTGACACCTGTGGGACACAATAAAGAAGAACCTGAATCAGGAAGATGAGGCAGAGAGAAAGAAGATAGGATGGAAGAAAGTTATTAAATAGAAGGAATATTATTTTGATAGTACATACAAAAACTAGAGGAAGAGACAGGATACAGATTAGGAAATGGGATGAACAGGATGAGGGTAGTGAAGCCAAATCTAGCCTGAAGGAACATGCATGGAAAAAGGGAGTGGAGGAAAATATACTGAGATTTTAGAAGGAAAAAAGATCAGGGACTAAAAGAAATGAAAATACAGCAGGATAAATATGTTTATCGTTCAGATTTAAATATCAAACTTTTACCAAAAAAGGAAAATATAACTTATTTTCTACTTTGAACAGACACAGCTCAAGTCAGGGGTATGTGTGTCTGGTTTATGTCTGTAGTAAAAGGGAGTTATGGGCAAATTTGTGAGTGTTCAAAGGAGAATTTGTGTGCTACATGTGCCCTCCTTTTCTAAAGTTCTGAAACAGAGTACTTGTGCAATGCTGTTTAAGCAATAGGAAACCTTAACTGCCTTAAATTAATTTATGGGTTAGGGAAAGCAGGGGACAGATTCCTTAAATTTCTGGGCCTGTTCCAGCCACATGGGGTGGCTGCTGACCTGTGTTTCCATCTACTGCTTCACTACACACCCATTCTCTTTTAAGTCATTAAATCATTCTAGCTCTTCCTTGATGAACCTCCCACCCAAAGTCAAGAGCTTGACCAGGAGTTTGCCCGGGAACTGGCTGAGGCCGCATGCTCCAGGACCATGGTTGTTATGGGTGACTTCAACTACCTAGACATCTCGTGGGAGGATCACTCAGCAAAATCCAAGCATTCGCAAAGCTTTCTATTGTGCGTGGATGACATCTACCTGACTCAAGAAGTCTACGGGCCAAAGACAGGTAAAGCGCTGCCCAACCTGGTACTGGCTACTGGGGATGACCTAATTGGTGACCTAGTGATCGATGGGAAGCTGGGTGACAGTGACCATGAGCTGATCACCTTCACCATCTGCCATAAAACTGGCAAGTCAGTCAGCAACACTGAAGTCCTTGACTTCAGGAAAGCCAACTTTGACAAGCTCAGGAGTCTTGTCAGTGAGGCCCTAAGGGACCACAAACCCAGGGGGAGGGGAGTTCAGGAAGAATGGTTGCTCCTCAAGGGAGCGATCCTCAATGCACTAGCTAATTCTATTCCATCTCGGAGGAAAGGCAGGAAGAGGGTACAGCAGCCCCCCTGGCTCTCCAGGGATCTAGCAGAACTCCTGAGGCTAAAAAGAAAGGCCTACAAAGGATGGAAGATAGGATTTACCTCCAAGGAGGAATATTCTGCACTGGTGCGGTCCTGCAGGGAGCATACCAGGAAAGCCAAGGCTGCAACTGAACTCCAACTAGCTTCGAGTATCAAGGACAATAGAAAGTCCTTTTTCAGATATGTGGGGAGCCAGAGGAAAAGCAAGGGCAACATTGGACCCCTGCTAAACCAGATGGGACAACTGACAACTGACGCCCAGGAAAATGCCAACCTATTAAATGGGTACTTTGCGTCGGTCTTTCATCAGTCACATGGGACGTCCATGCCCACTGTGGGACAGGGAGGTCCAGGTGAGGGAGATCCCCTGCCCTCCATCAATGCTGACCTCGTGAAGGAACACCTTGAGAGGCTGGATACCTTCAAGTCATCTGGCCCTGACAGTCTACACCCCAGGGTACTCAAGGAGCTGGCAAGCATCATAGCTCAGCCTCTGGCACGGATCTTTGAGAACTCCTGGTGCTCTGGTGTAGTGCCCGAAGACTGGAAGAAGGCCAATGTGCTCCCTAACTTCAAGAAAGGGAGGAAAGTGGATCCAGCAAACTATAGGCCTGACCTCTATCCTGGGGAAGGTCTTAGAAAAGTTTATTAAAGAGGTCATCCTTAATGGATTTGCTGACACCAACATCCTGAGGGATAGCCAGCACGGGTTTGTTGCAGGTAGGTCTTGCTTGACCAATCTCATTTCCTTTTATGACTAGGTGACCTATCACCTGAACAAAGGAGAAGAGATTGATGTCATATGTCATGACTTCAAAAAAGCCTTCGATCTGGTATCCCATGATCA